TTTGTTTTTTACCTGCCCAGCACAGAGGTGGTGATGGGCTTTGGGCACTGAATATTTTGCCTTGTTTTGTTTTTTACCTGCCCAGCACAGAGGTGCTGATGGGCTTTGGGAAATGTCCTGGGTGATTCCTAGGGAACAGCTTTGTATTTGCAGCTGGGATAACCCGGTTTTGCTCCTGTCCTGTCTCCATCCCAGGCTCTGGAGGAGGCTGGGGCTGCCCAGCAGGGCATGAACGAGAGCTGTTCTGCCTGYCTGCTGCTCCCCCTCCCTTTCCCACCTCCCCTCCTCCAAGCTCAGCCCCTCTCGCCCTGCTCCAGCTGGAGCCACAGGTTTATCTGGAGGCAAGGAGTCCCTGCTCTGTAAGCTGAGCCCCGGGAGAGGAGGAGGGATCTGCTGGACCCTGGAGGAGAAAGGGTTTGTCTGCCCCGGAGGAAGGGAGAGAGGCAGAGCCTGGGCACCATGGCTGGATTCTCTGCTCTGGGGCTCCTCTCCCTGTGTCAGCTCTTGGCTGCAGCATCAGCTCAGGTGAGAAACCTCATTTGTGTCTTGTGCTCTGGGAGAAACCTGTAAAGGTAAAAGATTGATTGTGTAAAGAGTGTGTTGCATGTGTGGGGTAAAATGTAGCAAGAGGCAGGTTATTACTTTAAAGTTTATTACAAATTATTATACCCAATTATTACAAATGGGATTTGTACCTGTGTGGGTCGATGTAAAAACTGCTTTCTGTTTCTGTAGAAGTGTTGTCTTCCCATTCAGGGCTGCAGTTGTGAGAGAGAAAGCCTTGGAAAGGGGAGAGCTGTTGGTATAAGAGAAAGTTTTCTTTCACAATGAAGTAACAGATTTCCAGYGAGACTGATCTGATCTGGGTCTTTATCTGAATCAGAATTTCTTACTCATTCTCTCAGTCAATTTTCAGATTTTATACTTACAGCATATTTCACCGTTGCTCACTTGAGACATGAAGCTGTATGAAGCTTCCCTGTCTGGTGTTAATGTTATTGTCTGGGGAAGTGACTCCTCAGTGAGTTTTTCATTGTTAGTGAGGAATTTTCGCAGCCTGGCTTGGGAAATCAGARCTCTGCTGTGAGCAGAGCTGCTTCTACAATGAAACCTTTGTTCCCTGAAGCTACAGTAAGTTGCTCTCTGGAGCCCTCTCCATACAGAAGTCATTTATTGGATCTTTTTTTCCTTCTCCCCTCCTCAGACCTTTCCAAAATCCCAGATTTTCAAGAGGCATTCTGCTCAGAGAGGAGACTTTCCCTTTCTCCTCCTATCTTCACTGGTGTCTGCCTGGCTTTGCCATCATCACCCCATCAGACTGGGGCTATAAATTCATTATTTCTGCCAAGCACTGGGCACCCGTTTTCCACGGGCTTTGCATTTCCCCCTCTGCCCAAACCAAAATGTGCCTGTGGGCAGTGAGAACCATTGCCTATGCACTCAAATCCCTTTGCTGCCCAGTGACCTGCTGGGATTCCCAGTACTGGCCACCAGTGAAAGGAGCTGGGGATGTGCTCAGTTAAAAGGGTTTTCCAAAGAGCTTTGGACTGCTCTGGGGCAACCAGGCTGACAGGGGATGCAGATTTAGGGTAAAGCTGTAGGGCTGGGCCATTGATTTCTGATCCAGGTGCGATGGGAATTTGGGTCTGCTTTGCATTTTTCTAATGCAAAAATCATCTCTTGTSTTTCACTTTTCCCCAGTCCCTTCAGAGAATAGGACCACAAGGCCCTCCTGGACCACGAGGACCCCCTGGACCATCGGGCAAGGACGGCATTGATGTGAGTGACATGGCAGGGGCTGGCTCGGGAGAGGGGTGGAGCAGAGGCAGAGCCAGCAGGCAGAGAAGCTGCTCTTGTTGTCCACATCCTTCAGGGGTGGATGGAGCTGGAAAATCACTGTCCTTGCACTCCTTCTTGTGCAGGAGTCAGAACAGCGAGTAGAGGAGCTGCTCTTGTTCTCCACATCCTTCAGGGGTGGATGGAGCTGGAAAATCACCATCCTTGCACTCCTCCTTGTGCAGGAGTCAGAACAGCAAGCAGAAGTGCTGAGCAGCCTCAGGTTCTTTGCAGGATCACTGCCCTGTCTCCAGGGAGAGCTCAGGGGTTCGTGACCCTGCTTGCAAAGTAGAATATTTCTCTTTTGGCACAAGGTTGAGTGCAGGGGTATGATGAGTGTGGGGTCAGTGCACGTTCAGTAGTTCAGAGAGAGATTTATGTGACGCTTCAGAGCATCCACATTTCTAGAGGGGCTRCAAGAGACTCAAATAAGCAGCACTGGACACTGCTTTTATTTTATTAATTTTATWTCARYATTGTCAGCATGGTTACCCCTCACTTTGGCTCATGGTCTCTCAGGATCTGGCTGGTGTGTTTCCAGACATGAGTTTGTAGKGGCCCAAAATGAAATGGAGAGCCTTTGTTTCAGCAGGCAGCTCCTTACACCCCGTGTACAGGGAGAAGACAACACAACCCAGGACTCAACAGAGGAGAAAATCTTGTTCTGTTACTTTTAATTGATGTTTCCATAGAAATTAGAAATATTGCTTCCATGCATCTGTTGGATAAGAACTGAATTGTGCCCTGAAGTTGGCAGTGGATAAAAGGAGCATCAGATGGACCTTCAGCAAGACCACATCAAATGCAAAAAGTCTGGATTCCTCCTTCAATTTCCAGTTTGAGCAGCTCTTGTCTCCCTGAGCTGCTTGTGGAACAGTTCAGGGGTTTTTAAAGCTCATCTGAAGTACATTTATTGGATCTGGGCCCTTAAGCAACCTTGAAAAAAATCTATTCATTCCATGCAGRTCATTTTCTTTTGGATAACGAGGTTAAAAAAATATATATGTATGAGTTCCCTGGTACAGGGTGAACAAGGACTGTTTGTGCTGCAGTGGGGAGCTTTCCCTGCAGCTCCCTGAGCCAGGCTGGTCTGAAGAGAGAACCTCATTGATTTCCAGCTGCTCCCTCCAAGTGTCCTTTTGGCTAATGGAGACTGTTTTCCTGGGAATCTCACTCGGGTTTTGTAGTGTGAGAAGTTCAGAGCTGGTACCTCAGGTTTTTGTGGTGTCACAAAAGGCTTCAGGGCACACCCCAGAAGAGGGCAAAGGACACATGTTCCTGTTTGCAGCACTGGAATCCCTGCAGTAGGATGTTGGTGTGGTCAGCAGGTTTTGGAARATGCTGCCTGTGATTGTCTGTGGAAGGAAAAAGAAGAGTTTGGGAAGGAGGAAGCCCTTCAGACTTCAAGTTTCAACTTCTGCAGAGARGCAATCGGAAAGAAACCCTGTAGTTGTTCAGTTCCTGCTTTCTACAGGATATTTAATTGTGGAACAGCACCAGCATCACTTCTGATTGCTCTTGGAACCAGGAGCCCAGGGAGGTGTCAGTCACGTGAACCAACACCCTTTTATCCACAACAAAAAGCTCTGGAAGGTTCTCCATGGGACAGGATCAAATTACAACATCTAATTAATGGAGAACTTAGTCCTAATAAATCAAATTAGTAAAGTATGGTGCAAAACCCTGCAGTCCCAGCTTCCATCTGGAGTTTTGGCTGTGCAGGAATGGTCTCTTATTGAACAGTGTTGAGCTCCATCCCTGCTGTGAACAGAGGATGGCAGGTGCCCTGTTCAGGTGAGATGGTCTGGCTGTCCAGGGATGGTTCCTGCTCTTGGAGAGGACCAAGAGTCCTTTCAGGAATTGCACAGGAGGAGCTGCAGGGCTGTGGCTGGTGCTCAGCACAGTCATGCAGCCTCCCTGTGTAAGAACTGTTCTTTTTTTTGTCAGTACACTCCAAAATTGATGGTATWTAAAATCCAACACTGCTCTGCATTTTCCTAGTGCTGCATGGGGAGGATCATGTGGATCCTGAGTGGCGGTGTTAATTCTTCCACTGCAGACCAAAACCATTATTTTGTTTTTCTTTTGGTGCTGAGACTTTTTTTTTTAAATTGCAGTTGAAAATTTTTTTTCTCTGTATTCCTGAACCTTGCAAGCCACTCCAGCCAGGTCATCTTCACAGATGTCTTTGGGTGGATGTGGTGTGGAGTGTTGCTGGATGTGTTTGAGCTCAGTGGGTGCTGCTGAGGTGTTGAGCAGTCTCCTACCATCAGCTGTGAGCAGTGAGAGGTGCAGAACATGCAGCTGAATTATTCAGGAYATCTCCTTGGATGAACCCCATCAGCACAATTTCTCGAAGGTCCTGCTTTCATCCCTGCCTTTYAGGAGGAGCTGCAACATGAAGTCCCTCTGAAATATTTTATAATTTAAGCCCTTAACAAGCTTCTCGTTTCATTCTCGGTAACAAGCARAATCTCTCTCTCCCAAGACTAAAAACAGCATGTTAGATGGAAAGAATTAGTGACAGGYTCCTGTGAATTATTTCTGAGAATGTAATTCCCTAAATTGCTAATAGGCAATTGTCACTTTTCAAAAATCAAGCTTGGCTTTTTTTTCCTGCTTTCTCTCTCCCGCCTTGACTTGCTGAGAAAGAATAAACTTCCTTYCCTCTCACACAGCACCAGGAGAGCATTTCCTTTTGCTGACARCCCTTGCCTCTAATTCCCAGTGATCTGGCACTGGGGGTACAAACACTGATTAGGCTTTTGATTCAGCTCTCTGAAGTTCTGGTGCTCCTGCAGAGTCCTGCAGGGGTCTGTGATGGCAGGATCAAGGTTTAAGRTGGTCCCCAGCAGCCTTTGCTGGTRCTGTGACCTYGCTGTGCAGAAAAACWCAAGGGSCTGGCAATTCCAGGTGCTGGAGGAGGGAGCAAACCACCCCTRCTGCCATTTCCAGATGCCTTTTCATTTCAAAAGAACTGCTCCTTTCATTTCCTTGGCAGGGAACCTTCCCCAGCCGTGATAGTGATAACTATTTATGGAAAAGCTGTGGGCAAAGGGTGCTGAAGGAGTTGCTTCAGCGAGTCAGAGCATAAAGATGCCTCTGTTCAGGGACCCTCTGGTCRGTCAGTGGTGCAGGATGTAAATCCTGAGCAGTACCAGGCTGAGATGTGCCCACAGCCTCCCAGTAAATATAGAAATGCTATAAATTCCCAGCTCTGCAGACGCCTCCTGGCTCCTAATTCCCAGCCCCATGGTGGGATGGTGTTATTTCCAGCCTTGCTCTGTTCATAACCACCCTTTTTTGCACAGAGATTTTCTTCCAGGGTACCAACTTGCCCCTTCCCCTCTGCTCGCCTGCAATAGCTGAGCCTCTCACAATACTCAGTGCATTTATCCTAAAGCCAGGAGGGCAGGGTACCCTCTGGACTTGGAGACAATGATTTTCTGTGGGATGAGTTGGAAACCAAGTTTCACTCAAGCTCCTGCTGTTCACAAATGTTTGTTTCTTTCAGGGCCTAACACTAAAATACAAATTGTTATCTGGGATCCACACACACACTTATGAATGGCATCACAACTGGCTGAGCTGGAAGAAGAGATTAAAGACTTATGAAATGTTGTTTTCCAAACATCTTTAATGCTGTTCTTAAAAATTTCTTTTTATTAGAATTAAAAAAAAAAAGAGTGAAATATTTTATGGAAATTGTGTTTAATCCAGATTGTGCAATTGGATTAGGTGGAAATCGGTTGGGGGTTGTGCTCATTTGCTTTTCCAGTCTGAGTTTAGTCATATGAAGAAAATCACTGCGGACAGTTTGTTCATTCTTCCCTTTGTGGTAATCCCCAGCTCCTGGCAGTACCACAGTTTCACACTGTGCCCTGGAAAGCTGCAGTTTGTCACTGCATCCCTCTGTTTCACCAGGAAGACGTTTGGAAGCTGTGACRCCCATCCAGCTTCCTCTCTACCCAACATGCAGACAATCCCAAGTGCAAATCCATTCTGATTCTGTCTGGAAGAAGCTGGAGGTGCTGGGGGCAGCGTTCAGGGAGTTCTGCTTCTCTCTGGGAGGCTGAGGATGTGGATTCCACCAAATCTGCTGCTGCAGGTGTGGAAAAAGCTGTCCAGGCTCATCCTGCTTAGGGGTGGCAGGGTTTAGAGCATCAGCTCCGTGAGATGAGCGAGGTTAATGTTGGAGTGGGTGTGAAGGGAGCTTTGAGTGCAGTTGGGAAAAACACTGTTGGAAAAAGACACCAAAGAGAGGTTCAGCACTAACGCTGTYTTTTCTCTTTCTAGGGAGAGCCAGGCCCTCCTGGTTTGCCAGGCCCCCCAGTAAGTATTTTCTATTTGCTGTTGACTTCTCCATCCTTCTGAGAGCACACAGGGCACAATCTGGCACTTACAGCCTCACTTTCCTCTTCATCTGCCACAGAATTCCCAGGGGTGGGGATGCTCAGCACTGCCCCAGGGGACAAACCCATTCTCCTGCTTCATTGCTGTCAGTGAAATAAAATGAAAATTAAATTAATGAATGAAATAAAGCTTGTGCATTACCTGTGTAATGAAATTATTGGCACCAAGCCACATCACATGGTTATTTTKGGCACTGCTCTGAGTCTGCTTCAGCCCCTCAGTCTGCTCAAAATTGTACCAGGTGGCAGAGCCCTTTGGCCACTGAGTTCATCCCTTCCTACCCCTTACTGGGAGCAGCTTGGGAATGAGCCAAAGCCCTGAAATTTAGGATTTGGATGTGGATTCATGGCAAGATTCACCTCTCTTCATGGAATTCTCCSATGCTGGATGGTATAAGATGAACACATCAACCAAAGAGCTCCCATCCTTGCATCCTTGCCACATTTCTCTTGTTATTTTGTCACAATTGCCTGTTTATCTCATGTAGGGGCCAAAAGGTGCACCAGGGAAGCCTGGAGCAGCAGGTGAAGCGGGATTGCCTGGCCTTCCTGGAGTGGATGTGAGTATTTTGTCATCTTTTAGGTCTTTTAAACCTTTCACATAGGCAGGAGTGTTTTTCTGATGTGTTTTATCAACTTTCTCTGTGCTGCTGGGGAGGGAATGTGAGTCCTGGATCCACGTGTGTCATGCATATGGGGAAATTGTAGGAGTTGGAAGCATCTCTAGGCTGAATTAAGGAATTTTGAGRTGTGTCACTGACAGAATTTTGAGAAAAATTTTGAGATGTGTTACTGACAGAATGGCACTCTCTTGATCTGTTGGGTTTTTTTACAGGGTTTGACAGGAACTGATGGCCCACCTGGGCCAAGTGGGCCTCCAGGAGACCGTGTGAGTACCTCCTTAGAACTTAAATCCCTTTAAATGGTCATTGTCACTGATGGTAGCGATGGTTTTCCCATTCTTATGTAAATTGATGATATCCAAGTGTTGATTCTCATGTAAACCTCGCAGAATGCTTGGGCCCATGAAACAGAATCTGAATCCAGGGTGATTTTTCATTAGGCAGGGTATGAGATCCACCCTTCTTCCACATGGCTTTGATCTGCTTGGATTGCCTCAGTGGTGGCTGTACTGTGGATATTTCAAGTATCCAAAAAGTTTCACGAAGCACTCGACAGATTTAATGAAGAACTTTATCGCAGTGAAGTTATTTTGGCCTTTATTTCCAATCTGAGTTGGCAGATCTGTGATGTTTGTAATTATACTGTGCATTAATTGTTTAAACTTTTGCCTTTTATTATTTCTGGAGATGTCCATATGGCTGCATTATTAGTTGCCATAGCATTCCCCAKCCAGCCTAGCAAGAAATAAGAGTTTTTCCTGCTTCCTACATATTCCAGCTCTGCTGAGGGGCACCACAGGGGTGGAGAAACAGCTGCCAGAGATRTTACAGATGTCCTTCAGATCATCACCCACACTTAGGCCTTGCTGTGACATTAAGGACGAACCCTGAGCGAGCCACTCAGCACAGATTGTGATCCAGCATGGCTTTTTTCCTGTCTCCCAGATGGGAGCATAATGCTTGTGTTCACTATACCCCAGTAATCCACTCGTTTCCCCACGGACTGACTCAAATCTAGAAAATCTGTGAGTTGTTTGAAGTGATGAGTGGTGCGGTCATTTATTTTTGAGAGGTTCTTCTTCTTTTCCCATGTACAAGGAAAAGTTTGTGCGTGGCCACGGGGAAAAATTGACCCAAACGCTCTGGTCACAGCTCCAAATATCCTGATCACAGCTCCAAATGTCCTGAGCACAACTCCAAATATCCTGGTCACAGCTCCAAATATCCTGATCCCAGCTCCAAATATCCTGATCCCAGCTCCAAATATCCTGATCCCAGCTCCATATATCCTGATCACAGCTCCAAACATCCTGGTCACAGCTCCAAATATCCTGGTCACAGCTCCAAACATTCTGATCACAGCTCCAAATATCCTGATCACAGCTCCAAGCCTCTGTCCATCACCACCACCCTAAACCCCATTCTTTTTTTGTCCCTTGTGCCCATCTTTCTCCCCAGAGATCCAGAGCTGTAAAATCCTGGCTGCTCTCAGATATTCTGTGGCAAGAATCCAGCACCTTCTGGGAACAGATCCCTGATTTTTAAATCAGGAAAGCTCAGGACCACCCGTGGGAGGCTGTGAGCATTTCTGTGCCCTSTTTTGTGCTGGGTGGCAGTGCCTGCCCATGCCCACGTTGGGTAATTGAGCAGATAATTTCTGGGCACCAGAAATTCCTCTTTGGGTAGGAGCCCCCAGACAGAGCTGCCCTCGCTGCAGCCTCGGGTTTGCTGTGTTTTCCCTTATCTTTAACTCAGTCTGGCAGCATGGGGAAAACCTGGGACCCCTCTCATTTCTGGCAGCTTTTCAAGGTCAGTGGTCCATCTGGGAAATTGTTTTAATTGGTCTGATAAAAACCTGGGAAAAGGGGAAACTTCCGAAAGCTTCAGCGTTCTAAATGAACGGCATTGTTAGCCCGATTCTTTTCCTCTCTATCTTTTAGAACATATTTCAGACTTGTAGGACTCACTGAAATAAGCTGCTTATTGTTGTGGGTTTGAATTCATGYTTAACACTCTGATTTCTTCTAAATAAGCTTAATTTTTTGAACTGGCGTGTCTGGGAGCGAAGCTGTTTAGCATAGGGAAGTGGGCTCAGGGAAGCCAGTTTTCAGTAATATTTTATTGCCAAGCATTTCCAAAAGGATTTTTGTCTTAAATATCTCCTGCTGCTCTCAGCATTCATTTACTTTTCTCGTGCTTTTCTGCCTACAGACTGATTAGATCAAGCCTACTTATTTTTCAATTTTAAAAGCCCTTTATTTTCAGCTGGGATTGAGCTGGGTTTGGACCTCTATGCTACATGTTGGTGACCTTATTTGAAAGTTTTCAAAGGCCATTCTGGAGTTCGTTGCTTTACACTGAAAGCAATAAGGAAAACATAATTATTAACTTCTATTTATGAATGTCATAATAATCGAGTATTTTGTATGCTCCTCAGTTGTCTATTCAGTGAGTATATTACTACAGAGTGAAAAATTATGGTGATACTGTTTCCTAATCAAAAGAGAAAGAACATTGTTACCAGGAGAATGAGTCGAGTCAGACAATGTTATTAAAATTGAGGTGTAGATCAGAGTCTTTCCTTTGCACTTAATGCTCGTTCAGGAGTTTGATGATCTCTTACCTTACCAGGAATGTTCACTGCTGCATTCTGCACCTTACACCCTCCAAGATATGGAACCAGATGTTCTTTAAGGTSCCTTCCAACCYAAACCATTCTGGGATTCTGTCTCAGAATTATCACCCATAATTAATTTTTCAGCCTGCCAGCCAGCTGGCAACTTTGAAATGCAGCAAAGGAATTAAGGAGGTCTCTCTGTCTTCTCATCTTTAGTGAAGCAGGAATTTAACAGCTTCAAGAGTGACTTAATTCTGGTCTAAGCCATAAGATCACCAAGCTCCAGTCAAGCCTAGGAGTAGGAATGCAAACTGGGAAAAGGAGACTGGGGATTTGCCAAGGAAGAAAGTGAAGAAGCAGGAGCTGCCAAATCTTTGGCTTTGCTTGAAAGGAAAATGGATGAATTAATAAAATTCACTAGAATAAGTCCAGATTTTGTTAATAGCTTTAGCATACTTAGTCATTGGGTCTACAATATGAATGTATTATGAATGAGAATATTTCAAATAGATAAAATTCACGTTATGAACATTTAGATTTTCATGGAGATTAATCTGAGGCCAGCTGAGACTTCCAGGATAATTATCCCTAAGTTTTTGTCCTTATATGTGTGAATTCAGCTGAGCATCTCCAGTTTCTGCAAGAAACTCTGCTGGACTTTCCAGGCAAAGATTGGTGTGAAGGAGAGCAGGCTTTGGTGACTCTGCTCAGTGGAGGTTTCTGTTTTATCCCTGATTTATGTCTTGTGTTATCCCCACAGGGTGCATTAGGACCTGCTGGGCCGCCTGGACCTGCTGTAAGTTCCTCCCAGAACAGCACATGGGATGGAAGTGTGGGATATTATACCAAAACCATCACCAGGATGGGAAAGCTTTGTATCCCAAATAAAGGGATCAAAGCCTGAAGGAGTGAATATATCATTTGAAATGTTTAAATATGTATGTGTGACCCGTTCTGGTAGCACAGGACTTGCTTTTGAGTCTCTGAGGTGCTRTCAAAGCAAACCAGCTTGGGATACAGACTAACAAAATCATTAGACATTACCCAAAGTCTGATCAAAATTAAAAGGGAAAAGGAGAAATAGGTAAAGTGGAATGTTGTCTTCCTCTCCATGTCCCACTCTTGTGTCACCACACATCACTTTTCTTACAGACGTCTCATAGGTAACAGAGATGTAAAGGAATATGAATTACTAGAGGCAACAAAAGGATTCATCAAGGCTCATACTCTGCTCTGATTGCAAATTATAATAATTAAGGGCAAGGGAGTGATAAGGAAACTTAGAAGAAAAAAAAAGAAAACCAGCGTTTTCAGAGGTTTTCTTTTCTTACTGTATGTTCMGTTTCTGAGTGATCTTTTACTGTTTTAAATGTTGTTTCCAGGGCAAAGGGCTACCAGGACCTCCAGTAAGTAATAGGAATATTTTTTTTCATAAAAGGGTGTTATTGCATACCCTGAGTGTTACAAACCCACCCCAGGCCTTGGGTCCCTCTCCTGTGCCAGGTCATCGACCTTGTGGGACTTTTATCCTTGCCCTCACCCTGGGGAACTGGCACTGGTGTACATTCAAGGCACAGCAGCCTGGTTATCTCTGGAAATGGGGCAGCTTTTGTTTGCTGRGTGCCTGGAGCATCCCAGAGCTGCCCTGTGCTGAGGATGCAGATGGGCAGTGTATTCCAGGGGGATGTGCATTGGGAAGCTGCTCTGGTGCAGGGTGGAGCTCCTTAGGGGGGTTGGGCAAATGGGGACAGCCAAACTGCTGCCTGTCCCTGGGATTTGGGGTGGCAAGGTCACCACAGATGTGAAAGCTGCTCTCTCTGTTTAACAGGGGCCTCCAGGACCCAGTGGGCTCCCAGGTGGACATGGATTTCGGGGTCCTTCTGTGAGTTTCTCCTACCATTTAATCCTCATGTACTGAATGTGTCACCACCACACAAGAATGAGTTTCAGTTTTGGTCTCTTACCCTACTCTGAAGTGGTAGCCACTCTTCACACCATTTTGGTAGCCACTCCTCACACCCCTTTGCATTTCCATTGAAGGGGAGTTACCATTATTTTTCTCTCTTTTCAGGGACCTTTTGGTCTGCCAGGATTCCCAGGGCCTCCTGGACCACCTGGACCTCCCGTAAGTTAAGACTTGCAAATAAATTGGAGAAAATTCCCTGGAGGGAGTCTAGAATTTCCTTCTTGCTGCACTTTTTGTTTCCTGCCATTGCCACGAGCACTCAGCAGGGCATAAACACCACACCCTGAGGAGAGCAGGAACTTTTCCCTGGCTGCACTTGGGTGTGTCGATGATCTCCTGTTTATTATTTGTGCTTTGTGWGAGGAGTGCCCAGTGACACCCCACCTTTATGGCACACAGATTGCAGGCTGGGCTTGTTGATCTCTCAAGGAAGGATTTTTGTGCTTGATYTGTTCTTGTAGGGCCAGCAAGTGGGGCTTGCATCGAGTCTCTGCTTTGAGAGGCTGTGGCCTCTCTGGAGTGTTGAACAGTGGGGTTGGGGGGTGTTTTCTCCAAACCAGGAGGAATCCAGGCACTGCTGCTCTCCTCTTACTGCTGCCTGCATCACCTAAGGCTCAAGGCTCTTCCCAAGGCCAGCTGAGCATCTCCAGAGGATGGGCACACCCCTGATGTGTCTGGTTTTGAGGTTTTTTGTGCAGCTCAAAACACTCCAGGGTCAGGGGCAGCACTTTAGGCTGTGGGGCTGAGCGTGTGCCTTGTGCTTTTCCAGCTGAGCTGGCTCTGTACAAATTGTCCTAGAAATGGTCTTTGCTCCTGTTATTTGTCTTGTATTTAAAAGCCGCCATTCCCTGAATTGCAGGGTCTTCCAGGCGCCCTTCCTGATGCTGGTGGGGACCTCCAGGTAAGTTTTTCTTTATGTAGCATGAAAATACATTTTGGTTTAATCCCTGATATGAATTTTGGTTGGCATAGCTGGGTGTTGTCAGACCATTTCACATGAGCTGTGGGTGTAAACCACCTTACCATGAGGCACAAGGGTGGGGAGGGTGTGTTTGCTGGGCTGAAATGTTTTTTCAAGGAGGAAGATGTGCTCTGGCACAGGGTGCTCAGTGAAGCTGKGGCTGCCYCAYCCCTGGAAATGCCCARGGCCAGGTTGGGCAGGGTTTGGAGCACCCTGRGGCAGTGGAAGGTGTCCCTGCCYATGGCAGGGGRTGGAAYGAGATGARCTTTAAGGTTTCTTCCAACTYGAACCATCCTTTGATTCCAGTGCTGATTTCCTCTTGATCTTTACTTCCTAAAATGCACGTTTTGCATTCTCTTCTCTTTTGCATTGTTTAGTTGTACTAAACAACTTCAGCATTTGATAAAAGACACCAGCTTTTCASCAACCCATCTTTGTGACAGGAAAGGTTTTGGGTGTGGCACTGGTAATTTCCAGGGATGGTGGCACYRRGTTCYCATGGACATATGCTTTGTTTARGCCTCCTTCTTTAGGAGAAAGCCTYGGTTCCTTTCTTTCAGGGGAACGATGGGAAGTGGCATTTGCAGATTTCACAGCTGTTGTTGTGACAGCTTCTTTGGTTTTCTAATTGGCATTCCCCAAAAAAASCTCAGAGTYGGTTTAGACTGCCTTATGGCAYATCACATGGGAGCTAATAGAAAAAYGWTGCTATTTCTGCAAGTTTAATTTAAGTTAYCGTGTGGAATAAACTAGAAAATTAAATTTTTGCTACAGAGGTGCTGCCTGAAGTTGTATTAAAAGGAAAAAAAAAAAAACCCAATCAAAACTGCAAAGTAATACTTATTTGTAAAGTTTCAAGAGTATGGCCTTTTCATTATTAAATTTCCATGCATGTTCTGGTTTGCTCCCAGTCCAGCTGGAATTCCCACCCCTGGACATCTGCAGGTATCAGCTCATAGGTATTGAGCTTTTATTGGTGCCCTTCAAGTAACTCTGGTGCCTGTCCTTGTTTCACTTAAGGAGTTGGTTAAAGGAAATAAATAGAGGTGAATTAATGCAGAGGATTAAATATGGTCCTAATGATTTAAATGAAACTGATCCAGCTTCGCTAGGAAAACTGAATTCTTCAGCATTTTGGACTGTGGAGCTTTCAAAAAGTCTCACATAAATCRTTATTTCATAAATGATTAAATTGTGTTCATAAATCATTATTGTGAGGGTTACCAGACCTCTAGGAGCCCTTTCCACAGGGTCAATACATGGTGCTATGATTCCATTAGATTTAGGGGATTTACAGCCAAAACCCACATGAATCTTGATTTTCTGATGAATGAAACCAGCCTCTCTCGTGTGCCCTGTGTGCCTGCTAAACCCAAGTGTTTCTGTCCCCTGCAGTGCCCAGCTCTGTGCCCACCAGGTCCCCCAGGGCCCCCAGGAATGCCAGGCTTCAAGGTAAGGACACCTCACCTGCAATGCAAGGATTTGTCTCCCAAAATAAACACCACTATGAGCCCCTGGGATTAATYTGTTTATACAGCCCATGTCTCCTGTAGGCTCCATACCTCCAAAACCATGAATTTGTGTTTATTTGTTGGGCTCTGGTGCATAAATTCAAGGTTTCAAGCATCAGGAGTTGAAACATCTCCTCCTCTGTCCCCTCTCTGGTTCACATGAAGTCARTGAGTTATGGACTCCAGCAGTGAGACAAACTAAAAAGTGACTCAGGTTGTTTTAGCAGGATTTAGAAGTTGGCAGTGAGTGGGAGAACTCCTGGGAAATGCTCTGAATTCCTCCTGAACTGACCTTTCTCGGGTCTGTTTGGTCTCTGCACTGAGTCATAAATATCATTACAAATAGGAAATGTTTAGGGCATAATTACTCCAAATTCATAGCTCATGGAATGGAAAACGGTGTGCAACTCTCCAATTATGATGCAAATGATGCACAGGACCTTTGTGATGGTGAGGAATAACATCTGCCATGGCTGAAATCAGCCTGGGTCTSTCCCACAATAATAGAAATGGAGCCAAGACACAAATTGAATCAGAGCTCACATAAAAGCTTTCAATGGGACATGGATTTCTTTGCAATCTTCATGATGCAAACATTGAGAGTGACTTAAAAGGGGAGGTTAAAGATGCAGAATGGAGTTTTCAGAAGTGACTCAGCCCCATTTTCAGGGGTGCTGGGGACTGAGTTCTGGTTCCTGATCTGTATTGGAGAGTTGCATCCAGACCATGAGCTCTGACCAGTGGAATTCACTCTGGAAAACCAAATCTGGGCATTTGCTGAAAGTGCATCAGTTCTGTCACTGGTGCCTCAATGGGACTGGGRCAGGAGGGATCTCCATTCACCTGTGCACAGCACACCTACAGATTGTTTTCCCTGTCAGCCTTTTGGGATGTTGGGGGTTTCAGTCTCACAGCTGTCTCACCAAATTTAAATTTTAAAACAAGAATGTGATGTGAATAATGAGAACTCTTATTTCTAGGGACACACTGGTCACAAAGGGGAACCTGGTGAAGTGGGAAAACAAGGAGAGAAGGTAAACTTCAATTGAAAAGGGATGGGGGAAGATTTTTCTCTTTTAAAACACCTTGAAAAAGAAATAAGGGATTTCTTCATGAAGAAAGGGAGAAATTAGGCTGAAYAAGGAGAAGTTGCTATGACTGAAGTGGAGTGGCTTTCATTGCTTTGTAGGACCGTGTGCTGACTCTCCAAGAAAATTCATTTTCTCAAGGATCCTCATGTTAAGATCAGTTTGRGTTAGCTGCTATCATTTCCCATGCAGGGATGTCAGCTCAGGGAAAGCCCTGCATTAATCATGTGGATAAATTCCTGACTGATCCAAATGTTCTTACACGTAGAAGGAATTGTCTGCGATGCAGRAGGAAATTCTGAAGAGAAATCTGGGAGGGAGAGAGGGAGCAAGGAGAAATAAGTTGTGGAGGTCCCTGGCTGTGTGTTTGAGGGCTCCTGCTGTCTCTCCTCTTCTCTAACTGGTTTTTCTCTCCCAGGGTAACCCTGGCCCTCCTGGCCCTCCAGGAATTCCTGGTGGTGTTGGTCTGCAGGTAACACCCCTGTTCTCTGTGGAGCTCATTGGAGCCATCAGTCCCCTCGGTGACACAGGCAGAGATTGAGTTTGAACTGATTTGTTTTCCTAATTAGGGCCCAAGAGGACTGAGAGGCCTCCCTGGTCCAATGGGTCCGGCTGGTGACAGAGTAAGAAAAACCTTCTGTTTTTTTTTTTTTTACTTTTTCCTTCCACCACCAGTTTATCTTGTGAGAGATGCCAGTGACACTTCTCCTTACAGAATTCCACTGTAAATTTGTAAAGGTATCAAGTGTGGGGTGTTCTGTTCCATCAGAACAAAGATCCCCCAAAGTCAGGGGGATCATACACCTGGGTCAGGCTCAGCCAGACTGAACCATTCCAAAGTGCAAGACTCACAGTGTTACAGAATCTTGCAAAAAAAAGGAGAGAAACATTTCATGAACCCTTCACTTGCTGTTGCTTTACAAGAAAAAGCCAAAGAATCACTGATGGACACAAAAAGGCTCCTCAGTGAGAACAGGGTCAATCTCCAGCTCATGGTGGCTTTGAGCTGTCACAGTCCCTTGACCAACAGCCCAGAGGCTGAATGGTTTTGAACTGGATGAAGTCATGAATTAATTTAGGAACAAAAGTGTTATCAAGATAGCCAGGCCATGAATGATATCAGTGTACCAGAGGCACAAAGGTGGGCAGAACCAGAATAAAATCCCATTGCTCAGAGTGGGATTTTTTTGCAAATTTGTCCTGTAAACCAGCAGGAAATACAGGCTGTCTTTCCAGGGCTTTTGTGTTTTCTCAGGCTGTGGCAYGAGGTGGGGATTCTGTTACTTCATCCCTGCCAAGCCCAGCATTAAAWGGTGTCTGTTCTCTGCAGGGTGACATTGGATTCAGAGGCCCACCTGGAATCCCAGGCCCTCCAGGGAGGGTTGTGAGTATCCCAGTTATCCCAGTCTGTGCTGACCACCTCCACCAGATTATTCCCTTTTTTCCTTTTCCCTATTAGGGCAGTGTCATTTCACCTGAACCAGGCTTCAGGGTGTTTTTCCCTTTGCCATGCTCCACACCAGAATAAGTCCATCACATTTCCATTGCTTTTTGTGTTTCATTGCCCTTCCCTGAGCTCCAGCAGCTGTGGGCAAGCACTGGAGAGGGGAATATCCATTACTTTTGTAGGAAAAATCCATCCTATCGTGACCTTACATCCCTTGAGCCTGCTCTGCTCCTGAGCCCACAGCTCTCAAGGATTTTTGGAATAGCTGTGTATTGAAAATGCACCCCCTTCCTTCTGCAGAGCTCCCTTCTGCAGAACCACTCTCTGGGGACCCTCCCTAGGCTTTGCAATTATAGCAGAAATTCATCCAAACTGAAATAAAATGAGGTGCTTTCTCACCAAACCTCTCATTATGCCAGGCAGGATCTAGGCAGTAAATATTAAAGCTTCTCTTCTGTTTCTGCTTAAAGAAATTGCCTCATTAAATGAAGGGGGAGATGCTCTCTGCCCTGAGGGATTGTTGGCAAAGTCTCTGCTGCAAAAAGTGTGTCAGGAATTAGAGTGTAACTGTTGGGGAACTGTGTGTGCTCACCCCTGGCACCAGCAAACTGCACAAAACTCTCCTTATTTTACCCTTGGAACATCAATCTCTGTGTGATGGAAATGTTTAATGGCTTTTCCTCCTCTGCCACAGGGAGACCAAGGGAGCAAAGGACCTCAGGGATTCCGGGGGCCCAAAGGTGACTCTGTAAGTGCAAACACCCATCTGCTCCCTCTGGGACCTGACATTCCAGGGACTCTGATTCACAGGCTTCTTATGGCTGGTGTCCCCTTCATTTGCTGGAGAGGGATGGAAGAATCATCTCAAAAATGAAATGTTTAATTCTTGCTAAAGATATCTGAGCAATGGGGAGTCCAAGTGCTGCTACAGCCTGGAGCACAGGGAGCAGATTTTACACCTCCATCCCTTGAAATGATCAAGAATTTTCCCAGGTGTTGTATCCAGCATTCCTGGTGTGTCCCAAAAGAATCTCTGTACCTGTGTGAACAGAGAGGAGCCAGCTGAAAATGAATGAAATGTCCCTGCAGAATCTGAGTATTGTCTTTGTTGACTGGTTGTTTGTAAGGTTAACACAGAATTTATTGTGGATTTCTAGGGTAAACCTGGACCAAAAGGAAACCCAGGGGCTCGTGGACTCATAGGAGAACCTGTAAGTCAATCAATCAGAGTGCAGATCTTGCTGTTGTCTTGCTTGCAGATGAGAAGATAAAACACAACAGGAAAAAAAACCTGATTTTTGCCGTCTTTGCTGTCAAACTTGTGCTCTGTGGGTCTTTGTTGCATTGGTGGGAGTGAAAAATCTCCCAGTACACCTGGAGCTGCACTCATTGCCAAAAGCTGCTTTGATGTGGATGTATTTTACCAACCACAGAGTCTCCTCCTGACCTAAATGTGCTGTCCATGGTTTCAGGGAATGCCTGGCAAGGATGGGCGGGATGGAGCTCCTGGACTCGATGGTGAGAAGGTTTGTAAAATCCTGCCTCAACACTGCAGGGAAGATTCCTCAGGCTGTCCTGGGAGGGCTGCAAAGCTGCTGGTGCTTGTCAAAAAGCTTGGCTGGGAAGGCTTTTGCTTCTAAAAAGTTTGCTGATATTGTCATTAGTGAAATTCTTCCATTGGTTAATCCCAAGGGAATTCCCTAAAGAAAGGAGATGCTCCTGTGGTGTCAGCTCAGCTGAATCCCTGGATTCAGTGGTTCCTGCTGGCTGACTCGAGGCCTTCAGAGGTGCCTTTTCAGAGCTGTTGACAGAGTTTATTGTAATTGCCTGGAGACAAAGTGCTGTCAGGTACTGGCTGCCTGGCTCTCAGACAGTGATCCTGCAGGAAAATTGAGCATGTGCTTCCCTGGGAGCTGCAGGGAAACACCGGGGAGCTCCTGTCCAGAGGGTGCTCAGTCCTGCAGACACAGCAGCTCTGGGTCCTGGGCATATGGGGAGGGAGAAAACTGCAAATGCCTCTTTGGGAATGTGTCCCCTGCCTGGGCCAGGCCTTTTCCCTCCTGACCTCTCCCTCTCCACAGGGTGATGCAGCTCCCATGGGTGCTCCTGGAGAGAAGGGGCCAAATGGACTCCCTGTGAGTATGGGGCAGGACCTGCCACCTTTGAGGTTTTGGGGGTTTCAGGAGCTCAGTGTGCCTGCAGGGATCCTCCTGGGGACAGGGGAGGGTCGTGCTGGGTTTTTTTTTCACAAGGGTTAAGCAAAGAGGAAATGCASTTTTCCCACCATGCAGACAGGGAAGGAGTGTACCACACAGAACTGGAGAGCACCTGGAGCAGTGCCACACACTCACACAGTAATTCCCTGGCTCTTGGCCTTTCTCACTCTTCAGAATCTAAATTTGAGAGGGATTTTCTCTTTCACATCCCAGTCATGTGCATCCCTTCTGGAGGGAGGTAAGATCTGGGCTTAATCCTGAGCTCTGTCCCTGCCTTACTCCAGTGCTTATTGGCAAAATGTTTCATCTCTCCAGAMTTCCAGCTATTTAAAAGAGATAAAGGATTCCTTTCTTCCTGTATYACAGAATATTTTGAACACCCCTGGAGAGAGGTTTCTGCTRGGCAAAATGTAGCTGCATTTGGTCTATTTSTATATCCTGCTCTTTGCTCTCCTGCCAAGGATTAGTGTTCATGGAGCTGCAAGGGCAGCAAGAGAGACATTGAARTCATAATTTTCACAGTGAAAGCTGCAGAAATCTAAACCCTCCATTGCTTCMAGCAAAGGTGTCTCATTGCATGTCTGATCAGAGCAGAATAACGAATTTAATAACTTCCCTTCTTCTGACATTGCTTTAATATAATCTTTTTCAGGGACTGCCTGGAAGAGCAGGTATTAAAGGCTCAAAGGGTGAACCAGTAAGTGAATCTCTCTAATGATGGGGTCTGGTGGGGAAAGTTGTCACAGCGAGACTTTTTGGGGGATTGGGAGGATTTACCCCACAGTTGGTAATACAGATGGTTTCTGTATTTCTGCTGAGGAGCAGGAATTGGGTAAAACAACTTCACTGGCACCTGGATCAGTACAGACAGAGCAGATACACAGGAGAGTGGTTTAGTAAACCTCATCCTTTTGCCACAGTCCCAGGAGGAGGCTTGATCTTTGGGAATCAAAAGCTGAGCACCTGCAAGCAGGAGCAGGATTATCTCATCTTGCCTTCTGCAGATTTTCCCTCAGCTCAGGAGAAAAGCTTCCATGGAGCTTTAGATTGGCACTTACCTGTGAGATAAAAGAAAACCTCAGACAGACCAAAGCAGTCCAGCACAAAGTTCTTCTGTCAGATGCCTTTTTATTTCCCTGTCCCTCTCCTTTATGAATTTTTCMCCTCTGAGGATTGCTGCTAATCCTCAGGGAGGAGAGCACGCTGCAGGAAGGGTGCAGGAATCTCCTCCTGACATGAAGGTGATGCAGGAGTGAAGGTGATGGGGTGTCCTGGTGTCCCTGTCTCACATGGGACACTGTCCTGGGGCTGGCAGCCCTCCCTGGTCCCTGCTGCAAGGATGGATTGTGCAGCTCACCTGTTCTCTGGAGCTGAGAGTTTTTTATTAAAACTGTACACATTTAAAGCTGTTTTTATTCCCTGGTCCAGGTTTGAACTCCCTCCTCCTTTTGTTGCTTCAGGCAGGACTCAGTGCAGTGATGGCCTAACTGAGTGTGTGYTTTGTGCTCTGCAGGGCAGTCCTGGAGTGACAGGAGAGACAGGACCCTCAGGAGAGCCAGGAATCCCTGTAAGTRTCCCAAATTCACACTGGGCTGAGCTTTGAACCAAACTGGGGAGCTGGGGCTCACATGCTGCTTCCCTGCACAAATCGAGGGATGCAACACCTGCAATCCCATGGGACTGAGCACTCCAGGGATCTGTTTGTATATCCTGTTCTTTACTCTCCTGCCAAGGATTAATGTTCATGGACCTGCAAGGGCAGCAGGAGAGACATTGAAATCATAATTTTCACAGTGAAAGCTGCAGAAATCCAAACCCTCCATTGCTTCAAGCAAAGGTCTCTCATTGCACGTCAAATCAGAGCAGAATAATGAAGTTAATAACTTCACTTCTTCTGAAATTGCTTTAATATAAATTAAAGCAGTCCACGCTGGTGTGGAGCTCCCCAGGGAGTGCTGAGCTGGCTGGGCAGGGTGCTGGGCACAGGTACTGGGCAAAACCCAGCTGTGGGCTGGCAGATGGGCCAGTGGGGCAGGAGTTTGGGGCTGGACAGCCTGGGATCCAGGAACACATCCCAGCAGGGTGGGAAGGGTGGATCTGTGGCTCCTAAATACCAGAGCTGACATTGGTGTCCCTGCAGGGCGACGTTGGCATTCCTGGTGAGAGAGGTCTGCCAGGACCCAGAGGAGCAACTGTGAGTACAGAGCTGAGCACCAGAGAGGGGCCAAAATCGGGTCTGTGGGGTGGGGTCACCCTCTGGCCACAGTGAAAGGCCCCATTCTCTCTCAGASTTGTCTCTGGGGAGCTTTGGCAGCAGAGAAATTCCTGCTCCAGGGCTGGGTCAGATCCTGCTCTCACTGATGGTTCTGTGAAATGCCAGGGGATCCCTCCCATCTGGCYTGGCAGAGCAAACTGCAGCTGTCCAAGGGCTTTGTGGAGATGCCACAGTCTGGCAGGGAGCACTGCACAGTCAGAAAATCCCTCACTGCACAGGAATGGGAAGGTTCTGCCTGTGCTGAAGGGAGGCATTGGTGAAGCAAAGCTCCTGGGGAGCTGTTGTGGTGRACTGTGCCACCAGCTCATGACACCTGAAATCCTCCCCATTCCTGCATCCCTGTCCTTGGAGCACTGGAGAGGCATCCCCTGCTAAACCTACACATACAGCAAAACTGGGAATAATTGCATGGCTCCCTGCTGAACCACAGGGATGATAATAAATAATATCTGGAGGTAAAATCCTGATTTTGATCACAGTACTAAGAATGGTTGGGTCCCCGTTTGATCTTGTCACTCCCCAGCAAGTGCTGTTGGGGTTGGATCTGATCTTCTCGTGGTTTTGTTGGGCTTTCTTTCCTTTTCCTTTTCCTTTTCCTTTTTTCCCCCCATCTTAATCTCATTTTGAAATCCAGGAGCCTACAACAAGTCTAATATGATTTCTTGTACGTGCCACTTGGAAGAAATTGAACTGTATGATTTATTGTTTGTGAGCAGCTGCTGCTTAAGCTTCCAAGGAGAGGGAAATCAGCTTTAGAAATAAACTGTATTAATAATGTTTGCTTTTATGCCTGCAATTTTTCACCAGAATAGCTGRCCTCACAAAAGGTACCACATTATTWCGGCCAAAAAGCAAAAGCAGTCGAGCTGATTGTGTTGGTGCAGTAGCAGCTGAACCCATGGTTATGTCTAACCTGGGCTTCTCCTTTCTGGTTTGTTTTATTAGAATCATCATTTCTTAGTAAAGACTGGGCTGTTGGAAGAGRGTTGCAGGATTTTTCTGGTGTTGAGGCTGTCTGGCTCAAAACAATTTGGGTCTTTTTAGCTCTGAGTACCAAGGGTTTCTCAGAGCCTGTCAGGTCCCTCCAGATCCCRCCACATTTAAGGGCACCAGCACAGCAGAGTCATTTTTGATGCAATTTAACTCAACTTTCTGAGACCTCTGTATTTATAGCTCTCAATGTTCCTTACTGAATTACAAGCAGCAAACAGAAGTGGAAACCACAAAAATACCTGAGCAGTTGTTCAGCTTTCTGAAGATGATGCTGCTTTATTCCAGTGGCCAGTTTGAGGTTCATTTGTGTCCCTGAATGCTCCATCCATCAAGGATGGCACTGAAAGGAGACAAAGCTGCAGCCCTGCCTCATGACAGAAGCTTGCTGAAGGCATCTATTTCAAGGAGACAGTTTACAAAATGAGATTTAAATGCCTAAACTACTGAGGGRTTTTTCTTTTTTCATCCCAGATCTTCATTGGATATGTGATTTTTCTCAGGAGAAAGCAATAGAGCCTCCCAATGGTAACRCTCACGTTCTGTCTGGTGAGCTCTTAGGAGCACAAATTGCTGCCTTTTTCTGCACTGCTGGAGCCAAGGATGTCCAAGCAAATGGATGCAATTGCCATTTTTCATTTCCAAGGACCTGCAGCACGTGTTGTGCAGCAGTTTCTTGCAATCARTTAAAAGCATGATATTGGGCTGGCAGGTCCCTCTAATGGATTTTGTCCATGCTCTGTCATGCTGCCTCTTTTCTCTTTTTGCTGTCCTTCATCTTTACTGCTCATGAGTGTGTGATGTTCTTGAACACTGATTATACAAATAAACCTTTCTGTCAGTAACARTGATATTAGAAAGCTCAGCACACACCAAACACAGCTCTGCAGTGATTCCTCAGCAGTGCCAYGGGGCAAAGTGCTGCACACACAACTGCACCTTCCCTCTCTGCCAGTTTAATTACAAAAGTCACTTACCAAAGCTGATYTTTCTCTTTCCAGGGACCACTCGGCCTCCAAGGCCCCATAGGAGCTCGTGGTGTCCGAGGTTTCCAGGTCAGTGCTGAGAGGGGCAGTTATGGGCAGGTCAGTGTTCTCTGCAGACCTTGGCCCCAAAGCTGGGTGATGGCAGTGAGGGATGGGCAGGAAGGTCTTTCCATTGCCAGGACCACAAATCAGCTGCCTGCAGGAATGATTTCTATCTAAAATTTGTAAAGGGAGGGGTTGAGTTTTGTTCTCTGGCACAGGTTGCCCAGAGAAGCTGTGGCTGCCCCATCCCTGGCAGTGTCCAAGGCCAGCTTCMGTGGGGCTCTGGCCACCCTGGGAGAGTGGAAGATGTCCCTGCYCATGACAGGGGGTCAGAATGACAAGAATTTTAAGTTCCCTTCCAACCCAAAGTGTTTTATGATTTTTTGAGTTTGGCCTTTGTAAGGACACCTCAATTTTTCCTTGATCTGGAGCACTCTCAGTCTATATTTCTTCAGTGAACTCCCTCTTGCTGCACTGGAAACTTTAGTATTTCTCCCTCCCTTCTCCAAGGGAGCAGCACACCCACTCCCCACTGAGCCTGGCTGAGGGCAGCATCACTTTGTGGTATCACAGATGTTGAATGTTTATCAGTTTTAAGAGGTTTATTAATGAAAGACCCACACCAAAGTCTGGAGCACCTTGGTGTGTGCCTGAGCTCRGCTGTGGAGCAGGAGAGAAGCTGAATTGAGCTGTTCCAACCAACCAAGTGATCCTGGGGGAAAAAATGGAGAGAGATCATATAAGACAAATAATCTTTGTGAAYACTTTATGGAGACTGATGAACTTTGAGGTGTTGAAGGGTGCAGGATTTSCTGGCACTGCTCAGCTGTAGCTTGGTTTTTGTTTTTCCCAACAGGGACCCAAAGGTGCCAGCGGYGAGCCCGGCCTTCCTGGCCCCACTGGAATCCGTGGAGAGACGGGGGACAGGGTAAGGACAGGACACTGGGAATAATCCCTGAGTGAGATGGGATTTAGGGGATAACAGGGCCCCAAAGTGGCTCTGGCTGATGAGTGTCCGGTCTCTCCTCTGGAGCTGCCCAGGTCTGACCCCATGGCAGGGAGCAGGATTTGTGCATTCTGTCCCTTCTGTTCCTGGTTTCTGTTTCACTGCAGAAGCTCCCACTATTTTCTGACAGGATGGATTTTTTTAAAAGAACCTTCCAGGCCCTATCCTAACCAGAACAGAGAGTTTGGGATTTTTCCCTGCTCTACCTGCCAATTCCACCAAAGCCTCATTCCCCAGGAACACAGGAGAGCTGATTCACATGTTTTTGTTACTCAGATGCTTGATTAGACTTTCTGGTTTTTTTTTTTTTTAATTACAGTTTTATCAGTGACTTTTCTTTCTGAACAGCAGCGCACCTGACCATCCCACCTCACAATAAATGTGRCTTTTTATTTAAATGAGCTCATTCTCATTTAGAAGCAGCCAGCAGGGCAAAGTGAGCAGCRTTTTTGGGGGCTTGCAGGAGAACAGGAGCCGTGTGTTCAGCAGCTCCCTCCTCCCCAGCTAGAARGTGAAATTTCTGTGAAAGCAGCAGCAGTTCCACAATGGCCCCTCTGTGCTGGCTCCAGGCAGGTTTAAAAAAACCTCTTGGAGTGACTGTGAGCTGCAAGTGTGAAACAGGAGGGTTATTGTGGAGCTGAGGAGCTCTTGACTGCATTCAGGGCTTTGCTGTGGTGAAAAATGTACGTTCAGAGGGGAAGAGGCCCCTGCACGAAGCGCCCAGGGAGCTGCTCTGAGCAGAGGAAGGGAGAACGTTATATGCTTAAAGCAATAAAAAATAATCTGGGTTTTATTTCTGGCTCTGAAGTTYAGTGTGGTTACTCTTAAGATGTGATTGTTGATTGTTCAGAATGAGAGGAAACGGCCTCAAGTTGTGCCAGGGGAGGTTTAGATTCGATATTAGGGATTTTTTTTTTCACAGAAAGGGTTGTAAAGCGTTGGAATAGCTGGAAGTGCTGAGACAAAGCATGGATGTGACATTTGAGGACATGGTTCAGTCAGTGGTGCTGGTTKACCCTAAAGGCTCAGATTGTGTTTTTATGGCCTAAACAAACAGCCTGTGCTGCTGGGGGTGCTGGGGACACACAAAGAACCCCAAGATCTGCTCTGAGCTTGCTTTGCTGCTGTCCTGACATGGATAAGGAGAACTGCACACACAGGATCAATGCAATTACACCACCCCAGCTGCAGCCAACTCATCAAACTCTCYTGAAATCAATTGAGGCTTTTCTCTGAAAAAAAAGAAAAATCCCTTCATGCCTGAGCTAACGGGTACTGACAGGCTTTTTCACAGTCCTTGGGCTGACTATGGCCAGGAATATAAACCAACATTTCACTAAATGTGTTTGCTGGCATGAAAAATACGAGTGSTTTAGTGCATTTGACTGTAAGATATAAAATAGAATTGAGATAAAATATATCAACCATCTTGCTGGAGTGGGATGTGGGGAGGGGAAGGATTTGACTGCTGCTGCTGATTGAGGCAGCAGTAGACAAATATTTTTCCTGAGGATTTTTATTGTGATCAAATTCCTGAGGATTTTGGAAGCCAGAAGCCACCTGGGGCAATGCCTCTCTCTGCTCCCTACTGGCAGCACTAAATACTTGGYCAAAAACGTGAGTTTTGTTTAACTGATCAGATGAAACACATGTGAAGGCATGGGGCTGRCAGTCCTAAAATCCTGCCACTTGTTCCTGCTGCTAGGAATCACCACTGCAGTGAATTACAGTTTTGGATGAAAATCCTCTGGGCTGAGCTTGTCTTTAAGGGAATGTTCCTTGCAGGACTTGGCCTTTGGTGACTGAACTGTGTTTTATTGCCATTAACTTTCATGGAGCCAGGAGACTCTGTGAAGTCAGAGATGAAAATGTTCAGAAAGGAATATATTGCTTTTGCCATCAGCTGACATAAAATGGGTSTTATGAATAGTTATAGGCATTCTTTCATTTGTACATTCCATTGTCTATTTTTCTGTTACTTTTCATTAATAGAAATCCCCTCTCCTTTTAACTTACTGCTTGACTTGAGCAAAATAATGTCCTTGTACTGTGTGTTTGCCCTCCTTGAAGATTCAGTTCTGCTGAGCCATTTCTAGATCTAGTTAATAAAAAAAGGATCAGTTTGCAGATGCCAGCTTGATTAATGTGCTGTAGAAATCCTGCTTGAAGGGTGAAATGTTTGAATTTCACATGTAGATTTTGCAGTAGAGAAAAACATCTGGGGTTCTCCTGAACTCCTTGTTRGAGCAGAAAAATCACAAATAGGGCTGAAAATGTCTCATGTTCTCTSTGTGAATGTCAGGTAGATAAAGATGGAAGGATTTTTTCAAATTGCCTGGATTGTTCCTGGGGTGATAATCAKTTCATCATCTAAATGTATTTTATTCGTATGGCCATGCTGTTCCACAAATCTTCAAATCAGGAGCACYTCATTCTAAATCCAGGAAAACTGACAGTCTAATAAAGTCCTGAAAAACATCTTGAATTTTTGCCCTTGTGGTATGAAAATATTCTTGCCTGTTTTAYATCATGAGTTTTATATCCTCCTCACATCACAGCCTGAGAAATTGTCCTAAAACACACACCAGGGATGTGGGGAGTGTCACAAAGCTGGCAAGGATGCTTAAATCCCTTCTCATTTCTAGGAAGTGTGAATGAGATTTGCACTTTTTTGGCAGCTGGGAGACTGATTCCTGACCCCTTGCTGAGCGAGCATCTGACCACACCACGAATTCACAGCAAAGGAACACTTTGAGCTCATTTGCCTTCTTTCTCTTATTTATTTTCAGGGTCCTGTTGGTGTTCCTGGTCCCAAAGGGAACCAGGTAAGTGATAACTTTGATGCTGCTGTCAGCAGAGGCACAGCTTTTGACAGCAGAAATGGATTTCTGTTCCATTTCCCCTTCTGGAGCAGCTGYAGCTGCTGAGAGCTCCCATCTCCCTCAGCTTATCCAAGCCCCAGGGTGGTCCTTGCTGTCAGCAGTGGTGCAGGGTTAACTCTGRTCTCTCTCTCAGGGCTTTGCTGGAGCTGATGGCCTCCCAGGTGACAAAGGAGAGCTGGTAGGTGTCCTTAAATTCAGTAGAGTTGACTCCTCTAATAACTGATGGATCTAGAAAACAGTGGATCACTATGGTCAGTGGGAATTAATCACCCAGGATGTYCAACCCTGCTGTGAACAGAAGGCAACCCAAGCCTTGCACACATCAGAGCAGCTTGGGAGACTGGGATTGCGTGCATTTTCTGAATGAATCACTCTTTATGTCCCTTTTCTTTCTGACAGGGTCCCTTTGGTCCTCCCGGCCAAAAAGGAGAGGTGAGTGTCAGACAYCGGGGGCTCACGCCCCAAAAGGTTTGGGAGTAAACATGACAATTGCATCTTTAAAACTACACAATAAACTCTGCTTTGGTGTAATTCCCTAGAAGCAGGCTTTCCTCACAGTCATGCTATAAAATCTRTGAGAAAAATGGGGGTTTGTGTATTCAAAATATTGAAATATGTWTGATAATCTTCCTGCAACAAAGGGTCCTCCTATGACCTGTATATGTAAAAACAYTTTTAGGATGTAAGAAATATAAATGATTATCCAAATGCATTCAGGAAACCTGAAGAAAGTTTTACCTAGCCCTCAAGAGAAAATAAGGGACCATGTCTTCCATCTTAAATGGGTTTGGGTTTTTTTATTCTTCAWTGCAGCCAGGAAGAAGAGGAGAACTTGGTCCAAAAGGTGCCCAAGGACCTAACGGGACTGCTGGAGCACCAGGGATCCCAGGACATCCAGGACCCATGGGTCACCAGGGGGAGAGGGGTGTCCCTGGCATCACGGGAAAACCTGGACCTCCTGTAAGTGTCTGCTGCTCCCGAGGCACAGTCAGGGAGCCTGGGAAGCAAAAAAGTGGATCGAGGAGTTTGGATGCTGTCCAAAAAATAAGGTCCTGCATTTCAGCAGGCAAAAATAAGGCTAAATAAGGCCCTGATTAAATATCTGRCCTAATTAAAATTAATTAAATTAAAATTAATCTCTGCCATTAGTACAGCAGAGTCTGAAGGGAAGCTATCACCTTTTGAAGAGGGGAAAGAACCCAATGCTCTTCATGCAGGACCCTGTGCTACTTCCTGAGCTCCTGGAAATGTGTTTTGTGTCCTGAAACTTCTGCCAGGGATGGTTATTGATAAGGAAGTTTGTATAAGAACAAAKTCTTCTGTTAATTGCAGGGCAAAGAGGCCAGTGAACAACATATCAGAGAAGTCTGTGGGGAAATGATAAATGGTGAGTGTACTGAGAGAAAACTGACTTTAATTACCAGATGAGTAGACCCTGAATATAAGATGGCTTCTGAGATTTGTTAATTTTCTGTCATRAAAAGAAAAAAATACACTGACCTTTAATATAAGGAAATTATTCAGGAGGTCACCTTGTTGGGGATGTCTTTCGGTGTTCTAAAATTAGTATTTTTAAATGATTCATCATGGGAACAGACACAGTGCACTGAAAGCAGCTTTGACAGAAGTATCTGGCTGTGAGACCTCCTGCCCTCATCTGTCTCATTGTGAACTTCACCTCCCATCTCCTCAGTGCACCTCATTTCCTTGGAGCAGGTCCCCATGGAGTGTCYTTCTTTCTTCAAAGTGACTGTTTTCCATTTGGAGGTGACCTTCTCCATTTGGGATAAGGTCAAACTCTTACAGTTTGCTTCAGAAAGCTTGCTTTAATTATTTGTCATTTGTTAGAATACTTGACATCTTTTAAAGTGGTTTTGGAAACAGGAATAATCAACAGCTTAAAATCCTGCAGACTTATGATTATTAATCTCCCTCTGTAAAAAATGTAAAAAAATCCCACAACACTACAGGTGAGCTGAAAGGCCAGATTTAACGTTTCCTTCTGCCAGGAGCAGTGGCAGGAAGATCTGCCCAAGCGAAGAGTGCAAATGTTGGATGTTTCTATAGTGTTTTAATTGTGTTTTTCAGAGCAAATTGCCCWGTTGGCTGCTAACCTGAGGAAGCCCTTGGCTCCTGGAATGACGGGCCGGCCTGGCCCAGCGGGGCCCCCAGGACCCCCTGGATCAACGGGAAGCATTGGGCATCCTGGTCCTCGTGGGCCCCCGGGATACAGAGGGCCACCAGGAGAGCTTGGTGATCCTGGACCCAGAGGTCAGTCAGGACTATTTGCTTCTCTCTTATGGCCACTGAAATAAATTGCAAATTACTACTGAATTCAGCACTGGGGAGGAGAGATTGAGCCTTGGAGTTCAAAAGGGAGTTCTGCATTTTTAGGGGTGCATTGTAAGCAAAGATCCGTGCAACATCCAGAGGATTTTTATCTTTTCTTGTCCTCTCCCTTCCTGTCCTTGGCTTTGGCTGCAGTGCACAACTCACGGTGGAAATTGTGTTTCTGATTAAAGGTGACACTGGTGAAAAGGGAGATAAAGGACCTGTTGGCCAAGGTATCGATGGGCCTGATGGTGATCAAGGACTTCAGGGTAAGTGTGGGGAAATAATTTGATGCTCCGTCACTGAAGTAAAGGCTGAGGAGGGACAGCTCTGCGTGTTGGTGGCAATAAATTATCAGCATTAATTTAAAGGTGTGTGACAACTCCAAGGCTCTGCCTCCAGATTAAGGGAAAGGATGTTGCCTGCTTCCTGATGGATTGCTTTACTAAAAGATTCAAGATTAATTTATGCAAATGAATTAATATCTATTAAAAACTTGGAAGAATATTCTTTATTATGCTCACCTATTATAGCAGCTTTTCTGTTTGGGATTACACCTGTACAATGAATAAGATACAGGCACCAAGAGCAGGCTCTGCATTGATAGAATTCCATAAAACCATAATATTTATAACCGTGTTATCTTAAATTCTTCCACAGAATTTATGCCATAAAATTTTAAAGTATTCATACCCAGTTGTCTCAGAATCTTCCATAAAATAATTGCATTAATCCATGTTAATAGGCTATTAGCTCACACAGCCAAAACATCCCTTGACCAAATTAGGGATACAAAAATCCAAAGCACGTACTCCAGATTCAGGGTAAATTTATTGAAAACACCTTGTACTCAACAGGCCATAACAAGTGTGATGTACAGACACTTAAAGTATATTAAGATCTCTAAAAGCAACACATATATACAGATATTAAAAAAGAAGAGATGGCTGTATTTCATRTAATCTTTTCCCCTCTCTTGTTTAGGACCACCTGGTGTGCCTGGAATTACTAAAAATGGCCGTGATGGTGCTCAGGGTGAACCCGGGCTGCCAGGGGATCCTGGGACTCCTGGGACTGTCGGGGCTCAGGGAACTCCAGGAATATGTGACACTTCGGCTTGCATGGGAGCTGTTGCAGCGTCAACTTCCAAAAAATCATAAACCAACAGTACAAGAAGTGAAGAAGTGACTGAATATTTAAATAAACAGTGCATTGTAAGAAAACAGAATCCTTCTAGTGCTAAAAGGACAGATGCTCCTTCTATTCTATTAAGTGGAGACTTTGACACAGTTCTATGAAAAAGAAAGCATCAGATGAAAACTTTAATTAAAGATGCTTTATGACTATCTTTTCATCCCCCCAATTATTTTCCAGAATTTTTACTGCTAAAGAACCTCACCTTTCCTTCCTCCCTTTGCTCAGGACCTGCAAGAGGAAGCATTGCTCCTTTTTACATCACCCCCATGTACTAAAGATCACGACCTTTTCCTAAGAAAGTTTGAGCCTTTCCCATTGAATTCCTTGGTGCTGCTCCCACTGACTTCAGTCCTGCAGGTTTGGCACTCAGACATGTTGTTAAGGCACTCAGGACTGAGCTGCCTCTTCCATCAGTGGAAATCAGGCATTTTAATATCCTGTATTTTAACATCTGAACCTTCTGGCCTAAGGAATGACCATTGCTTAAGTTCGTGCTGTCACTTAAAAMATTTCAGATTGCACCTCAAATATTTGCCAAGACTAGTAAACAGTAATGCAACTGAATTCTCTTGCGACTGAATTCTGCAAAAGGAGTAATATTAATATTTTAATTTCCAGGGAAGAATTTTTATATATTTCCATTTGATAATAAAGGAAATGAGGTAACAGCATTTTCATGACCTCTACGTAAGCTATTTGCACAATAATTGTGATGGAAGCCCACCTAAGAAAGGATGTGCTTTTAAAGTCCAGCCAAAACCACCTGTATGAACTGTTGTAAAAATAAAAGGAGATTTTTTTWAACTTTTCTTTGTGATGTCTTAAGTGTCATYATACTAATCAAATTAACTTGGCTAAACTCCATTTTCCAGAACTGTTTTYACTAGGATTATTTGGATATAAATTTCTGCACAATTGTTCTTATCCGTGATATAACCCAGTTAATTAATTTTGGTAGAACTTTTTACACTTTTTTTACACTTTAAAACTTGCTAGCATCATCTATGTAAAAAAATTAATAAAACCACCCTCAGCTCACACASAGTTCTATTTCTGTCCTATATACCAAAGCCTATGAACGAAGCATCATATTTCTCTTTAAATATAAAAATAGTTTGTGCATTTAAATATCTACTGTTTAAAATATGTCATTTTTAGTCTAAAGTAACAACATGARAACCTGTTGGACAGTTGTTGTGGCAGACATTAAAAATGCCAACACCATTGCATTACTCTTTGGGGCTAATTATGTTAAATATGTATGCAAATGGAAAATTCTTAATATGCACAATTTAGAAACTATGCCCTTGTCCAAGTAACCAATATTTACAATTTAAATGGAAAAATGGGCATTGTAATATGGTAACTTTATTTTTACACTGGAAGAATGAGTTTGCATCTAGCCATTGAAATAACGGACAGATGGATGTTCTACAACTCTTCCTAACTCTTTTGCATCATCTTTACAAAAGAAAGTAAAAGCAAACAAATAAGACCCCAAAGCAGGATGACAAGCACATTTTGTATAACTAAAGGGTAAAAATACTTAGTCATGACATTCTCTCGTAGCTTCTGGTCTCAAAGCCCCTTGAACAGGGCACTGATTTCCACTACTGGTAGYTGACTTCCATTTCCAAAAAAGAATGTTTTCTTTAAGACTCTATTTATATATATTTACAAGTTACATTTTCAAATTCCTATTCAGCATGTAAATGGAAAGAATAAAACACAGTTTGGACTATTGTCACACAGTTCAAGGTGGGCAGGTCAGGCTATTTGGTCTCTGTAGCCGTGCGGTTTTCCTGTGCTGGGCACATTACACAGGAGTCTGGTCTTCCTATTTTTAGCCTCCTGCCTGTTTTACCACAGAACACAGTCTCAAATTCCTAAAATATAAAAATACAAAGAAGAAATGTTATTTAATACATACATTTACTTGAGATGGATGCTCTTGTTTCATTAGCGCCTTCAATGGGAAGTGCTGAGGGACCATACCAGTATCTAGACCAGCAGGTTTTCCAGTACACACTCTCCTAAAATTCCTGGCAGAGCCAGAATTATTCTGGAGCTGCACCTAATGGTGTGGTGAATGAGAGCTGCTTTTAGGGCATGAGACCCTTCAGTTATGCTCACACGCTCACTGTAGTGTGGGCATGTAGCTGTGATCCCCCTCYCTGAACTAAGAGTTCATGAAAACTACAAAGAGGACTGTGAAAGATGTAGAAAATAGAAAAAATGAAGGAGGGAAATAATGATGGAGACAACCTTAATTTTATATTATTGTCCAAYTAGGATCATGCTCAGGAACTGGGTAACTTAAAAAAAAAAATTTAAAATCTGATTTGAAAACATTGAGGATAGGCTGTCATTTCTCACTAGAGAACTGAACCAGCTAAAAAATAAATATTTAAAGGACACTTCAAGGATATGATGCGTCCACCAAAAACAGCATCAAGCAGAAGCTTTGCATCTCATTTATCAGCTGTATTATGACAGTTTTAAAATATTTCACATTTTTATCGAGATCAAAAGTGAAATGAGATTTCAAACCTGCTTCAGGGAGTCRCCATGCCTTTCCTGAATGTACTTGAGGAATGCAGTTGTCCACTGCAAAGTTGTTGCCTTGTCAGTGTCAATCGTGCAGAAGGGAACCAGGAGATTGAGCTCATCACAACAAACCCGGATCCTGCGCCTGCAGGAAAACACCCAAGGTTATCAATCATGGGCCAGAGCGAAGGGAAAAATAAAGAAATGTGCTACCAGCCATGGATTTTGGGGACTGCTTTTTGTCCTAATACTAATATACAAGCTTTTTGTGTATTAGTTGTGTAACACACAAGTCACCTTATCTTTACAGAATTGGTGAAACGTTTTGCAATCTATTTTGTTTGCTTRCAGAGTAAAACTACAAAGACAACCACAATGAAACATAGATATATTCTTCCTCTAACGAACATCAAACCCTCACCTCCTGCACTGCTTTTTCTTGAGCTAACATTAAATATGTCATGTTTACATTTACTCTGGATAATCAGAGTATTGCAGTGCCAGTATTTTAGGCCTCAAGAGGTGTTGCATGATCCCTGCTCCCAGAATTACCTTCTGTCTCTCTCCAGGCGGTTGTGCCTTTCCCTTCTCTGGGTGCTTCCATCCTGGGAACCACTTTGTACCTGCACACTGGAGCTGGGCTGTGCYGACTGCCAGGGGCCCTGGGCAGCTGCAGTGCTCTGGTTGTTGTCCCGGGCATTACGAATTTCACCGAGAGGTTTGCGATCCATGTTTGGATCCAACAGATTTATTCGGCTGCAACTTCTGTTTATGGCTTGCTTGCATAAGGTGTCTTTTTGGAAAAACAAAGATGAAAAGAACAACCAATTTATTACTCTCCCACTAATCTGAAAATAGTGATCATGGAAAGTTATTTTGTGCTTTATTTATGCAGAACAATCTTTGAAGCTTTACTGCCAACCTACATTGATTCTTATGGCAAGACATGTCCTGCAGAAGGCCTAAGGCACTGCTTGCTATTCCAAAATCCACASAGCTTTCATTTTCTCARAGAGCCCACTGAGATGTTGTCTGCCCTTGGTGAGCACTTGAGGCAGCCCTTAAAATGTTCTCCAGTTTGATACTGAATGCATCTGCTGGATCAGCTTTGGGGTCAAAGAATGTACCCCTCTGCCACAGGGTWTGGTGGCGTTCGGTCAAAGGCTGRACTCAATGATCTTGGAGGTYTTTTCCAACCTTAATCATTCTATGCTTCTAAAGAAAACAGTTGCTGACCCAAGCCCCAAATTTTCAAAGGTTCTTCGTAACCTTGAGTCTCCTAATTCCAAGCCAGAARTGCTAAACAACTTTGAAAGCACAATTAAACTTATAGGTATTGAACTTCCTTGGAGAAACCTAGACCCATGTTGGCTATAGAGCATCTCTGCCATAAAAACCTCACCTCTCACATTCACTAAAATCATAATAATTCCAGAAAAGCACAAATTCAGAAAAAAAGTAGATTTGAAGACCAAGAGAAAAGTAAGTGAAGATAAATGGTTTACCTCCAACTTTAATCCAAACTTCCTCAGGCAAAGCTTTATTTATAGCACCTACTGTCTGTTTTGTGGATTCAACCTCCTGATAGAGAAAAGGGAATGTCTTGGGTATCCCAAGGTCTTGATGTTTGGCAGCTTCCAAAATAGTGCAAGATGTTCCACAGGTCTGTGAAAACAAAAAGAAAAAAAAAAGGAAAAACTTATATGACTATATACCAAAAAAAGGAAAAGAAAAAGAAGAGACTATTTTGATATCTTTCTGTTAACTTCTTAAGTTACTTCTTTAGGCAGAATAAATCCCAAATACACATAAGCATGGGATTTTGACAGACTGATGAATTTTGGGGATACCTCTGACATTTCTCAGGGCCATTCGATCACTTGGGCTTCAGAGTTTACTGCAAGTTGTGGAGGAGGAGATATCTTTATCATCAAAATTAATTAGAAAGAAAGGAACTATAGAAAATGGTACTTGCACARATGAAACAGATGATAAAATGATAAACTCTAGGAAAAAAGAAATCTAATGGCCTGCTGCTCATTACTGGGATGCAGGTAATTACAAATGCCACACAGTTGAATTAAGTATATTTAAAAGATTAATAAACAAATTGCATTACAGATCATTCTGCTCATCCCTATTCAAAACCAACCACATTTTACTGCAAACCTTCAGAATTCAACTACACCTAGAACATTAATACCATCAGCACTGGAATCTGGCAGAGGAGCATTACCTGTGCTTGGGAAGGATTAGCACTTCCAGCAGCAGAACATGCATTCATGGTAAAGAACGGGTAAGTAAACGGTAAGGAATGTGTGRCAGGTGCAGCCTTATTTTTCCCTAGTGCAGCACACCTGTTCCCTTGCTGGTGAAGAGGAACACCCACCACTTCTGAGGGCTGGCGGATCAATGTCACTAAGCTTTAAAYAAAAACAAACACAGAAAATATATCAGGCTTACTGCTTGAAAATGAGTGCAGAAAAAAAGTACAGCTACAAATATTCTAGAAACTATCACCGAGAAAACACTTTCATTTACTGTAAACAGTAATCACTGTTATTGCCATATTGCCCACTTCAGGGACCAAATCAAGAAAAGAAAATAAAAACCAGCCAAGGAGATATTTTAATCTGTCAGTTACAAGTTGCTTCACACCTCAATAAAACATTTTGTCAGCACATTAAGATAGGTACAGGGTTAGGTTGTAAAACCATACTTTTGCTCAAAGTATTCCCCATTGTCAGGCCTCCGCATTATAACTCAAATCAAGTATTATTATTATGATTAAAAATCTACTTTGCTTTTAGCAAGCTGCATATTAAAATTAGGTAATGTTCTCTCGCCTTTATTTACAGTACATGTTACCAAGAATRAAGTTGTAAGGTAATTAATTTTGGAAMTCCATGCTGTACCATTTATGYWATAAACAGAGGGGCCTAAGCTGAGCTCAGTGGAGTCGCAGCCACATTTGATGGCACAATTTAACAAAGCCCAGCCCATCCTTCTCATGTATTAAAAAAAGCACTATTTGTAGGTTTCACTTAGCAAATCACTTTTGAATTACATGACATATAGTTTAACAATGTAAGCTAAAAGTAATTGCAACACACTTGTTAAGAGTTACTCCAGATTCTTGGGGTTCTTGACATCTGGGGTTTTCTGTCGGGCTGCTGTCGAATCTGTCTTCCAACCGAGCTCTTACTGCAGGTTTAGATCTAACCTCTGGTGCCAGTGCCGAATTTTCAACAAATATGTTTTCCTTATTCTCCCCCAAGAAATTTTCACCCTGTTTAGCTTTTACTACACTGCATCCCGAGACTTCTACAGAGCTACTGTTGGGCGCTTTCTCTCTTTGGTTCACAGGGAGGTTGGACTCGCTAAGCAACATCATCCTGAGCTCCTGCAGGTCAGCATAGCCCAGGTGTGGGTTAGAACTCGGCCAGTAGCTGTCACAAGGCAACCCTGACTGACAGGTAACTGGGCAGACCGACTGGTTCCCAGAGCTGTTGGATGAGCCCCCGTCCTGACTGGTGCTGGGGGAGGGCTGCTGCAGAGGCGGGTCTGCAGAGGGGCCAGGCGAGGAGAAAGCGCTGAGCTTGGCTTCCACTTCACCTTCACTACTCTGCGCCTCCGTGTGCGAGCAAAGTATGTGCTGCAGCTGGGTGTACTCAATGTCCATCATCTCCACCAGGCTGGCCTCGGGGGTGGCGAAGCTAAGGTTTTGCTCACCAAAGGAACTGTCACTTGAGCCTCCAGGTCCGACAGCAACGGGAGCGGGGTCAGGAGCACTAGCTGGGCTCTGAGGAATGGTCTGAGGCTCCTCGGGGGCTGATCCTGACATGGCTACAGCAAACCTAATCAGTTACCAATGTCCCTTTCAACAGAAAACCATAAAACCTTCAGCAGTTGTCAGTACTACCCATTAAAAAAACCCAAAGGCAGAAAAAATCGCACTTAACACTGATTGGCGAGGTAACAGAGTGGGGACCAAGCTGCCGCTGGCGGGGTACCTGACACCCTGACCATGTCTCCCCCCCCCGGGTGAGACCCTCCCTCCCCCTCCAGCACCGCTGCTCACGACAAACGGCCTTCACCTGTCCCCGCCCCGGCCTCGGCGGGGAGGCTGCGGGCACTCTGCGGCCTGGCACCCCCTGAGACAGCGCCCGCACGGCGACGAGGCAGCCCGGGCGGGCGGGAGCGGGGGCCCCGCGGCCGGGGGGAGCCGCGGGTGAGCCGGGCCGGGCCCCTCAGCGCTGCCATTGCCGGCCGCCGCCACCAACGGCGCTGCTCCCTGAGGGGAGCAACGCGCGCCCGCCGTGTGTGTTTACTTACGATTTTAGCCGACTTTCGGTTGGGTATACGCTGTTATCCCAAATTTAAAGTGACTGAGCCTGCTGCCGGCTGAGCCTGAACTCTGTTATTGCGCTTTGTCGCTAACGGGAAGCTCACGGAGAGCAACGGCCGCGGCTCAGCTGCCGTGAGGGGCTTGCCCCGCCTGCACCCACAGCATCAGGGCACGGAGAAGGTGAAACAGAACCACTTGTGCAAGGAGAAGGCAACAAAAGCGGCTGGAACAGGAGTGGCTTGACATTCCCCACGAGGGGCCCTGCGGCCGCCTCAGCCCGAACCCCGCGGGAACAGCCATGGTCCCCGGCGTACGGGTGGGGAAATTGACAGGAAAAAAAAAATCCTAAGGCAGTGTGCAGAGACATTGCCATGAATGACAGTTTCACCCGTGAACTTCCCTCTAGACACAAGATCAGAAACTTTTTAAGTAGTTTTGTGCACACTGACTCAATACACACTTCTCAAATCTTCCTGGACTTTTCCCTTTACAATGCTCACAGCTTTTTTAAGACATAATGGTATTTCTGCTTACATTGTTCTAGACTTTGCAGGGGTTTTTACAGAGAAAAAGATTTAGCAAAATAGTCTCTGGAAAGTTAATTTAGCTCAGTGGAAGCATAGACAAAAGCTCAAAATAGTGAGTTCTTTCATGTAAATCAAAAGTTTGGACAAACCCAGAAGCTGTTCTTCCTGCAATTCAGGACAATAATTCAGTGCCATTTTTAGTCTCTGTAAATTTAGTTAAATTGTTATGTTGGTTTCAGCCTGGCTTTTACCACCTGCTGCAGCAGAGGACACAGGAACTCTGATGCAAAATCCAACTCCTGCTGCTAGGTAACTACATAAAGCTGAAGTTTAATAAAGTCACTGGTGTCTGTCTACACTGCTGATTTTTTTGCCACTTGATCTCTGGGAGGATGGACTTMCTGTTCCTAAATCATAAACACATTCCCCTAACTCTCCAAGGAGTTTCCTAGAAGATAAAAAGCTACACACYTATTTCATAAAAATGCAAAGCCAAGAAATTCATAAATGATGTGACCTAAATTAATACTTTTCTTCAGATTTTTTTGATGTAAAAAATCTTCAAATTCCAAGCTTCCTGATTCAAATGTAAAAAACCCTTCAAAATTAATTGGGGGATGCTTTAGAACTGAGAAAAGAATCATAAGCACAGATTTTCTGCTGGTTTTTAGCAGAAATCCAACACTGGCTGGTTGTGACATTCTGCAAAACATCTGTCATTACACTATGAGGAAATGAAACCTTTTTGCCATCAGTCTCTCATGGTTTGTTAAGCAATTGCAAAATGTAGAAAGTAATATCCATGTACATATTTAAGAAATGGACAACAGCTCTCTGGAGGTGTTTATTCTACTTACAGTAACAAAAACCTGTGAAGTCCCATATTTTAATGTACAGTGATATATTTTGCCATATAAAATACAATTTACAGAAATTTCTATCAAGTAAACCTAAACAAACACACATTTTGCATACTTTTATGTATGTCTTTAAATTAGAAACATCTCATTAAGGAAAAAAAAAAAATCTTACACTGCAGTTGATGTTTGCATTTAATACCATTTCTTTGCATGTTACTATTTTCCCTCGGGTTCAGGACARAGGATCATTTCAGCCAGGAAATCCTGGAAGAAGAACCTCAAGGATGCACCAGTGTGACTGTGGTGACACACATACTACCTGTAATATAGTCCTCAAGATGCAAAATGTTTACAGGAATCTAATTTTACATTTCCAAATCTATTTCAGCAAAATACCACAATATTTACCCAATGGTTAATTTACACATTCAAATAAATTAGTGGGGTTTTAGTTCACACTTTAGAACTACGTGCTTGAGGACTACATGAGAAGTAGCGATGTGATGTATTTCACCATGAAAAATGTCCCTCTTCAATCACAACATGATGTACAACCATAATTTAAACTTTAATGCAGCTGTATCTTTTTGAGTGGAGAGTTTTATATACACTGCCAGCCTAAGTAGGGTCTAACAAAAGAACAGTATCATTTATTTTTCAAGAGCCCTTTTAGAATGAAAGAGCACTTCTATAATGAAAAGTTCAGTCAAATTGTGGCATTTTTTAGATCTGTGGACAAATTCTGCAAAACCTAAACAAAATCAAAAAATGCTCCACTAAATCAATTCAATTGAAGTAACAGATTTAGTGGCCTATTAAGCCAATTTCTCTTCCTTCCTTTGGTTTACTAGTTTTCAAAATAAATGTCTGATGCTTTTCTAAGTTTTGTGGGTTATAAAGGTGTTGCTCTTGTATTTTCTTTAATGACAGGTTTGTAAACATGGGATCTTTAAAACATCATGAAAAATAACTACGTATAACTTGTTTCTTTGCTGTACATTTAACAGATGGATTCCAGACCCAAAATACSTGTATATAAAAGGAAGATAGTGCACTTTAAGCTTATAACATTCCATTTTCAAATCCTCCATCAGTCACAAATAATTATTAACACTGTTCTTTTGCAGTCTTTTCCTAAACACACAACCCTTCCATAGTWAAAGAAACATGACACCAACATTTTTAGTCTGTGCTGCTGGAACAATTTTGACACCAAAATATCACGAAAATGAGATGTAAAGGTATGGCTCCTCAGGTCTGGATTAAATTCTCCTATAAAATTACAATTCAAGTTACTGGAAAACATAACTTTATAATCTTAAAAAGCAATATGCTCTTCTTAGACTTTTTCCATTTCTGTACTGTAAATGGAAACTTTAAGATAAAGATGCAAGTAGAAAAAACAAAATTTCAGTACAGGTAACATTGTGAATCTTTATAAGAAAAACATTATGCACAAAATGCGGCAAGTGAAAGTCCAATATGTTCTTGCTTTTCATCTATCTGATTCTTTCATTCACAGTTGTTCAAAAATTGCTAATTTGTCAGTACATTGGGTAAGGCTAGTTTTACAACAGAATTTTTTAAAAGGTGAGAATATGTACAGTATTTACAGATGTGCAGTCCTTGCAAAAGTATATTATTTGTGGGAAGTATCAGTCACAGTTCTATGACTGGTTGCTGGAAGATGAAGCTTCAGTTTCCACTGGTTTCTGAGTTTCCTTCGGTGTTTCTGGCTTCGTCTCTTTACTGATTTCCTTACTCTTACTCCTATCTTTGCGATCTTTCCCTCTTTCCCTGTCGCGATCTCGATCTCTGTCACGATCCCTGTCCTTTTCCCGGCTGCGATCCCGGTCCCTGTCTTTCTCTCTGTCGCGATCCCTATCTCTGCTTCTTGATCGCTCTCTATCACGTCTTCTGTAAGAGTCCCTCTCTCTGTTTCTTGTCCTGTCTCGGTCTCTGCTTCTTTCCCAGTCCTTACCCCGCTCTGAATCCTTGTCTCTATCTTTGTTTTGGCTCCTATCTCTATTTTTATCCCATTCCTTGTCTCTGTGTCTCTCCCAGTCCCTGTCTCTGCTCCAGTTTCTGCCACGATCTCTTTCCCAAGGTCTGCCATGTTCTCGATCCCTTCGYCTTTCCTCAAAGCCTCTACCTTGGCGATTATCTGCTTGTTGAGGCTCTGGCTGATCTAAACCTTTGTCTTTATTTCCTCCCTCATAYCTGTCTCTCTGTCTCCCTTCAAATGTCTGGCCTCTATAGTCAGGATTTTTGCCATCTCGGAAGTCAGATGCGGGCCACTGTCCCTCTGACTCAGGTCCTTGTCCAGACATATTGGAAAGAGATGCAGATGGTCCACCTTCCTCCCACATCTCTTTTCTGTGGGTTGGTGGATGGCTTGGAAGGTCCAGGAGTGGTCTTGGGGGTGGTTTCATACCTTGTGGTGACTGACCCTGGTAATGAAATCTGGAAGGATGTTCATCTTCTTCTGGAAACATTGGAGGTGTGCCTCCTCTTGGTCCTCCAAACTGATGTGGTGCTGGACCTCTCTGGTTGGAAAATCTGGGTGGTGGGCTCCCTCTCCGTTCTTCATATGGCTGTGGCAAAAGTCCCCTTGGACCAGGCATATGATTTGGAGCTGGACCTCTCTGCCCTTCAAATTGATTTGGATGAGGCCCCCTTGGTCCCCCAAAATGACCTGGGGCTGGACCTCTTGGCCCTCCAAACTGAGGGCCTCCTCTCTGTCCTTTAAACTGACCTGGTGGAGGTCGTCTTTGACCTCCAAAGGGAAAAGGTGAAGGTCCTCTGTTTCCCATAAACTGAGAGGAATCTGGTCCTTCAAACTGTCCTGGAGGCCCCATCATTTCATCATATTGGGAATCTGAGAATTCCATTTGTTCCATGTGAGGTTCCCTATGATCTTCAAAACGAGATGGTGACATTCCTCTTGGACCACCATGGTAAGAAGGGGCAGGGCCCCTATTGTCACCAAAAACAGATGGTCCATGCTGYGCAGAAAATAAGGAAGGAATGGGACCCTTTTGACCTCCAAATCTTCCAGACTGAGGTCCTCTTTGCCCATCATTATTTGGAAAACTGTGCTCTTCAGAGAACGGTGGTGCCGGGCCTCTAAAATTAGGTCCATGAGGTCCYCCAGGTGCATTGAGCATCATTGGAGGCCCCCCTTTTTGCCCAGACATAGAAAATGCTCTGTTTTCCTCAAAGTGCTGTGGRGGAGGTCCACCTTCACTCTGAACTGGTGCAGATTCA